GGGGTCGAGTCCCCACCCCTGGGGGTATTTAAAAGCTGGGCAGAGGAGGTGCTTAGGGTTTAGTGGTGGGATGGCAGGGTTAGGGTAACAGTTGGGCTTGATGAGCTTAAAGGGCTTTTCCAACCCAAACAATTCTGTGATTCTATGATTCTAAGTAAACACACCACACCTGAGAACTTGGAGAAATTTCTGACAGGCATGATGCGCTGGCGAGTCTTATCCTTGTTGTCTTCTTTGTAGATCAGGACAATGGATGGAGGCTGAAAGCAGATGCCGCACTTCTTTGCAACGTAAGTCATTACAGTTCTTGCTGCTGGCTCCAGCGTGCTCAGCTTTATCAGAGGTGTCCTCAGCAATGCCAAAGCTCACTGAAAATTAGGAAAAGAAAAAAGGGAAAGAAAGGGTGAGTGTCTCTCTGCACTGTTCTTTTAATCAGGGTTGGAGTGACCCAACTTCAGCAAAAACACGCAGCCATGGCGCGAGTCTCCCTGATGTGGGTGGAAGTTGAACATGTCCCTGCATGTGCTGCGAGTTGGGTGCCAGGGTGCAGCGACTCCCAACTCCTGGTTTACACCTTTGTCACCAGCTATGTACAGTACTGCACAGTCAAATGATACCTAATGGATGGTTTTTATATGTAGTCATTTTTTAAAGCAAAAAATGTCATTAAATAGTAAATCAACGTATTGCGGTTTCTTCCAAACAACATCCAGTGCAATATCCATTGCTCTGGAGAGCGAGGAATTGCTTGCTTACCCAACCCTGCTCTGCTCCCGCCACTATGCTTTTAACTTGGTATTGCCTGACTGTTCACATGAAAGCTCCAGGTGTGACTTCAGGGAGAATCTGACTTTGTGGTGAAGATATAACGATAAATTTCTACTGTAAGTGTATTTGAGCACCTTTGAAAAAAAAAAATCAGAAAAATGCACCTAAAACAAAAATGTGAAACGTCTTTGGAACCCCACTGAAAAGGTTTCTACAGAATTAAATTAATGTTGCAAGAGACGCAATAAAGACTCTGCTCCCATGGAACGGCTGATGGGACGAGGGGAAACGGCCTTCAAGTTGTGCCAGGGCAGGTTTAGGTTGGACATTGGGAAAAATTCCTTCCCCGCAAGGGCTGTTAAGCACTGGAAGGGGCTTCCCAGGGCAGGGGTCGAGTCCCCATCCTGGGGGTATTTAAAAGCTGGGCAGCTGAGGTGCTTAGGGCCAGGGTTTAGTGGTGGGATGGCAGGGTTAGGGGAACAGCTGGGCTTGATGAGCTTAAAGGGCTTCTCCAACCCAAATGATTCTGTGACTCTAAGACAGAATTCTATTATACATATTTGTCTATTATACATATTTGCCTTGAAAAGATACAGATTGATTAAGGTTCAGATTTCCTTTGTCTCTGTTTCTGTCGCGAGCCTGGGGATATCGTATTCCTTATTTCATATGGTAAGGGAGAATCTTGCATCCACAATGTTGTCATACGTAACGCTTGGAAGTCCCTTTTTGTTTTTTTTTTAAATATCTTAGGAGGGGTACTGAATCAGTCTTTGTAAAGCTTTCTTACTCTTTCAGTGTGACCTCAATACAGTGGTGTATCTGTAACCGATGACAGATGGGATAAGGAGAGAGGAGATTCAGAAATAAAGGACAAAAGTAATTAAACCCCCTATTAGGAGACAGCAAAAATATGAACTAATTTTAAAGAGAGGAGATGATGTTCAACTGTTTACTCCCTCTCAAACTAAAATACACCATCAATGAAACCAAAAAGCTGCGAATTTACAAGTGATAAATGGACATGCTTTTTACACAGCACATTACTATTGGCAAAGCTTAAGCTATAAAATGTTCATGAAGGTCAAAAGCGTCTTAAGGTTTGAAAATGCTGAGCTGCTGCATGTCTGCACAAAGGAATCGGGAACTTTTGTCAGCCTTAAAAGGTGGAGAAAGAGCGTGGGTGGGTGGGAAGGGATGGCCGAGCCACTAAACGTACAGCTGTATTTATAGAGACAGCATGAACCTACCATACGCACGAGGATTTAATTTTAAAGGAAGGATGATTAAACTCTCAAGTATCAGTGCGTCGGTCAGCTACCACATGAATGAGGTTAGGAAGCTAATCCGCAATTATCCTCTTTGCTCTTCTCTGCAGTGTTTTGTGTTGCAACAGGAGAGGGGGGACGTCAGCCTGACCAACAGCAACAACTTCTCTTTTTCTGCCTTATCGCATTTGTCCGTGACGAAAATGCTCAAGAACTCCTCGGCATCAGCCCTGCCCTCGGCTCTGTCCCCTTTTTGAGTCAGATGAAATACCAGAGGGAACTTAGCGATCCAAATCTGCCGCAGATCCTCTTTCCTGGCTTGGCGCGCAACACTGAATACCCGTGTTACCTTACTTCTGGTTTTAAATAAATGAAAATACACCAAACGTGAAGGTTATCTCCCCCTCTGACTACCCTAGAGACTGCAGTGGGGCAAAGTAAGAAATTATACCCAAAAAGTTAATGTATGTCTCCAAATCAAGAAAAATTACATTAATCTTCAAAAGCGACTTCGAAGCCAAACTGAAAAGTCTTCCCTCTTTGTTAAAAACCACAGAGGAAAGAGTTCAAATTTCATAGTAATGTTCTCAATACTGAAAATTAACTAGAGCTGCTCTACCTTTTGCTTTTAAATAGTTCCACAAATCGGGGAGAAAAGCAGAAGTCTCTTAAGAGCCACTTTCGCTATCTTAAAACGAGAAATGATGCCTCAAACCGAACTGGAATAGCTTTTTGAAGGGTTACCGACAACCACGAGAGCGGGCCCCCATCCCTGAAACAGCAAAGAAATCCCCAGAGGCAGAAACGTGAGCGGCAGCCATCGGGATCTGCTGGGGAAAGAGGTTTCCTATCATCGGGTAATGCATGCAGAGACCTTCGCTGCCAGGCACGAAACGCTGGTTTCAGTAGCGCTGAAACAGAGAAAAGTGTTTGGTTTTCTGTTGGGTTTTTTTTTTTTTTTTTTTTTACTAACTTCTGTGCAGCAGCAGAACGACTTTTGCCGTTAAAAAGCCGCTTTTCTGCTGCTTGTTTCCGCCAGACCAGCGGGGTCGTGCGCGGTCGAGGCCTAAAGGCTGAGGGAGAAGGGAAGCGGGGCAGGGTGGGGCTCGTCTCTCTCGCCCCTTCCCCTCACCTCAGGCGGCGGCGGGACGGGGTAGGGAAGCGTCTCC